ACTTCAGTGAGGCCAAGATTTCACCACATGTGTGGTAACACGTCTCCACTGGGAGTCATTACATCTTCTACCTCCTCACCAGTGGCACCATATTGAGCGAGGAAGGAAGCTGTCCGGCTCCTCCATGCCATAGCGTGATCTGGTCCGGTCTGAGAGGGCAACTCCATTATCCTGCAGCTAGTTGTGGGCATGTCAGAAAGAGCCTGTGGGATCCTTAGGTAGAAATAAAAAAAGGAAGGGAAGGCAGCAGGCATTTGTGAGTGTGGCTGTTATGAAACAAGGCTCCAACCAAGCATCTGTCTGATCCTCTTAATGGGAGCCAACAGCGTCCCTGGTGGGAAACCTAATTAAAATGAAAACAAGAGCTGAGCTCGAGTGTTCAGGTATGTCACGAGTGTCAGATCAAGGCTCTCCTTGCTCCCCCCTTACTCCCTTGTCCCCATGCCACAGGCCTGTCCAAATACATGTCTGTTCCATTGGAACCTTGCTGACCAGAGTGAAGGAAGGTTGCGGCTGTGCTGAGAAAGGAAGATAATGAGTAGAGCTGCTTGGACATTTTTCCTTGAAAAGGTTTTTTGATGAAAAATGCCCTTTTTACGCAAATCAGAACACTCAACTCTTTCTTCTGCCCCTGCCCCCTTGAAACAAAGTGTTTCGATAGTGCTGAAACGTCCTTTTTTGACACTTTCGGAACAGGACATTTTGATTTTTTTCGCCTTTTGAAATGAAATTAATTGGTTTTCAGTACATTAAAAAAGTTTTAAAAGTTCAAAATTGGAATGAAATCCTTCAGTTTTATCAAAATGTTTGTCGACCCCAAAACCACTTTTTCCCTTGGAATTTCATTTCCTGGAAAATGTTGACACTTTTTGGTTACGTCCCGTTTTGGAACAGAAAACATTTCAAGATTATGGAATTTCCCCATGAAACACAAAAACGCAGTTCCCGTTGAGATCTGATAATTAGCAACAGGAAATGGAGCTGTCTGTGAATGATCTTCTGACCACTAGGTGGCGCCAAACAATTGAAGATCAATAACAGCATCTCATGCCATTAAACCAGTGGGAAATGGAGGAAACAGGATGTCACCGGTGGATTTCTCTTCCTGGGGTGGGGGTTTGCCTGGTAAGTTACCTAGAATCACAACACTGGGAGGGTAAAGTGTGGCAAGCAGGGCATGGGCTTAAATCTGCCATCTCTGGGTATTGGGTCTAGCCGAGGCAGGGAGTTAGTGGGACAAAAGGGAGCAGGGTGCTCTGGCTTTCCAAAAGAGAACTGAATCCTTGTGGTGTGTGTCACGTCTCTGGGCAAAGCAGCCACAGGGTTGTGTCAGGTGTGGTGTGAGATCCTTCCTCTTCCCTGAAGGATCGGTGGTCTTGAGCTAAGGGGGAGACTGGAGGCCAGTGTCTTCAGGCTGGAATTTTCTGATGAGCCAATACGTTATCCAGGGAAAGTATGCTGTCCCGCAGGGCACTGAAATGATGTGCGCACGCTCCCAGGTGCCCTTACAATGAGCAGTACAGCAATCCGAAAGGCTGGCATTGCCCTGTGCGGGAAGGACCCTATGGCGACCTCAGGCCAGGCGAGAGAGCCAGGAAAAGTGTGAGATAAGCTCTTCCCCCTCCAAACAATGGTGGAGAATCCTTCCTAAAAGTTGGCGAGCCCTTTGCCCCCCTTATGGCCCCGCCCCACCCCTTCCGCCTGTGGCCTCTTCCACCTGAGGCCCTACCATGGCCAAGCCAGAGTGAGCAGGGAGCCATGGACCCTTCACCTGGCCTGGGGGGGGGAAGGACAAGAGCAGCCCCCTGCCCATGTCCCTGCCCCACGGACTCCGCCCAGGGCAGGGGGAGGGCTTGTGGCTCCCCACAGCTGCCCACTATGGCTCTCCCTGACCCAGCTGTGGCCAGGGGATGGGGCCTCAGAGCTGCGCAGCCCGAAAATGGTAAGAGCTGCGTGGCCGGGCAGCTGTGGGGATCCGCGAACCCTCCACCTGCCCTGGGGGGGGGGGGGGGGCTGGGGAGTGGGGACATGGGCTGGGAGTTGCTCTTGCCCCCACCTCAGGCAGGCGGAGGGTGGCGGTGCCCCATGCTGCCTGGCCTCCCGGGCTGGGGGGCAGGGCCTCGGGAGCAAGAGGAGGAGCAGGGGCGGGGAGGCCCGTGGCAGAAAGTGGGAGGGCCATGGCCCCCTGACCCTCCCAGTTCCAGCACCCTTGCCTCCAAAGCTGGCCATGTTCTCTGCTCTGGCTCCGTCCCCTCCACGGCCTGTTACAAAAGCCGGATGATACTATTGCATGGTTTATCCCGGGCAAGGAGTGACACTGACTGTCTCCAGCGTGGTCTAGGGCTTGGAGAGAGACTCTCCCTGAGTTGCTGGCTAAGGATCTGTGAATCAGGTTACTCCTCTGTGGATGGCAGCTCTCCATTTTGGAGCATTAGAAGTTAGGTTTGAGGATGATGGGGATTCAAGCCCATTGCTGCTTAAGCATTGCGTGACTTCATCTTTTGATGCCAAAATCCAGATAACTGCATTCAAAGGTCTTTTTAACGTTCCTTTTGTTCTGCATCCAGGAAGAGCAGCAATCCATCCCATTGCTAAAATTCTCTCTGGGTGAAAAGTGCCTGAGAATTAACGGAACCAGTGATGTAGGATTGCAGCTGGCTTTGCCAGAGGCTTGAACGTCCATTTGAGAAGACATCAGCCAAAGGCCACACACGGGTTGCACAGAGGAGCTCAGAAAAACGGCATTTTGGACTAAGTGGAGGATCTCAATAACCAACTTAAGCAAGAGTTTAATTGAGTTCTTGAGATTCCCCAAAAAGAATGGAGTCTGGTGACTGGGGGAATGTATTTTGCTGCGAGAATAGTAGAGGTTTTAGGAATGACAGCTGTATCAGGGCCTCAGTTCCCCTGATCCAGCTGAGTTTCGATTGGCATGATGTCTACTCTCTGTGAAACAAGAAGGAGTTCTGCTGTGAGAATACACATGGGTGGACGCAATGGGCTATACAAACCTACACGGGCCAGAGTCTAATGAGGCTCCGAAGCATGGGATTTTCAAAAGCACTTAAGTGACTTAGGAGCACAAGTCCTTTGGCTCAGCTCCTCAAAGGTATTGAGATACCTGACTCCTACTGAAATCCAATGAGATTTAGGAGCCTAAATGCCTTGGAGGATCTGGGCCATTGTGCCTTTATGCAGAGGTAGAAGCCAAAAATTAGGCTCCTGTTTTTGAAAACTTTGGCTGTGGGGAATTTAATCTTTGGAAAGACTGAACACAATGAGAGTGGGGAGTGAATTCCTGGGATCCAGAGCTTTGAGGGAGATGGGTATCTCTGATGGTTGGCAGTTGGACACCAGGGGAAGGGTCCCTACTAGTTTGGAAGTGGTGTATTGTGTGTGTGACTGCTGTGGGTTGCAGATGAGGAATCTAAAATTCCCGGCAGCTTGACTAACCCCAGTGACCCTGCACTGGCTCTGTGACATAGCACATGTGTAGCTGAACCCTGGATATTGTTTGACTCGAAAGCTTTGTTTATTTTATTTTTTTTACATAAGAGTTCAGCCAGAAGTTCTGCAGTGGATATGACAGTACGTCAGAGGGGTTGAATGCTTGTTACTTGTTTGTGCTCTGGGCCCAATCCTGGACGGAGCTGAGCACCTGCTGAGAAGTGCTGAATCTGAATATGACGACTGTATTATTAAAGGTTGCCAGGAGCTGCCTTACAGCAGTGACTCTAAACCTTTCCCCTTTCAGGAGTCTGATTTGCCTTGTGTACCCCCTAGTTTCACCTCCCTTAAAAATCTACCCACTTACAAAATCAGACATAAAAATACAAAAGGGTCCCAGCACACTAGTACTGAACAACGGCTGACTTTCTCAGTTTTACCACATAATTCTTAAATAATTCGGCTGGAATAGAAATATTGTACTTACATAGAGCAGTATAAACAAGTCATTGTCTGTATGAAATTTTTGTTTGTGCTGACTTTGCTAGTGCTTTTTATGTAGCCTGTTGTAAAAGCAGGCAGATCTCTAGATGAGTTGATGTACCCCCTGGAAGACCTCTGCGTACCCCTACTTCCACTGCCTTGAAGAACATGCTGGTTGCTGGTAAATAAACATGGACTGTAATATCTGTAGCTGCTGCATGAATGTTTCTCTTCACGTTGCAGATTGCTGAGCAAAATGGCTCCATTGCAATCCGGGAGCCCAGTTCTAATCTGATGCCACGTCCTCCCTTTTCTTTTAGCACTGAAATGATTTTGGGGTGGGAGAGGAGTACCAGAAGATATCCAAGATTAGAGCTATTAAATAAGACAACTGGCCAGTTCTGACGTTGAGGGGGACGTACTTGCATCTTGCAGCTCCAATCGCTACACAAGCCATTTGTCCTTTGCTGTAATGTTTTGACATCACCTTACTGTCTAAATGGCATTATAACCCCATGGTTCAGAGCTGACTGTCATGTCTTCTGTACGTACAGTGTACACGGTGCAGAAAAAGCCACAAGTTAACACTCCACTGAACGTGAAACTGCTACCGGCGTTTCACTGAGTGGCATAATGAGCCACACAGAGGAACCAAAAATGAACCAAACATGCTGTGCTAATTAATACATTGGCAGACAGGGGAACAATAGTTAAACTGAATTTTAATAAGTTCCATAGCAATTAATTTATTATTGGGATGATGGATGGGGTTCATTTAGGGCCAGATTCTGATACACTTGCTCACACAGACTGGTATCTTACTATGCGAGGAGTCCCACTGATTTCAATGGCAGTACTCCAGGACTAAGGCACGGCTCTGCATGAGGAAGTGTATCAGAATCTGGCCCTCAACACTGCAGTTACGGTAGGTCCAAAACCAAAAGGATTTCTAACAGTTAAATACCGACAAATGCGGTAATATCCAAGGACTCATTTGGAAAGCGCTCTGCTAAATAATTCATCTTTGACTTCTCAAACTTTATTGTAAATATTTTTGTTTTCCGTTACAGGAACCCAAGGAATTTTGCTTGCCAAAGTAAATTGCTGGGACTGGCCTGATGTCTGCATGAAGCAGAATGTCACTCAATTTCCCATTACCAAGATGTATGAGAAGGGAGCAAGACCACTGACTTACACTGGCATGCTCGGAACAGCGGAGCTGCTCAGATTCCTCAGGCTGTGAGTGTCTTGTTGATGCCAGTGTCATTAGTATTTCAGCTTGACATTTCTGAAGGCTCTTTACTGTCGCAGAACCGTAATCCATTTACATAGTAATAGTTTGGAACCTAATTTTAGTTTCAACACCAGGCTTAGAGTTTAGCTGGTAGGTCTGGAATGAGCTTAACAACCTTTCACACCTTTTCAGTGTCAGGAAACAACTTTTTTTAAAGGTTACGTCCATCCACTGGTTTGACTCTCCCTGTCACAATAGAGAGAGACACCTTATGTTTGTTTATTGTTTGGAGAGTCATGACCTACGGGCCTCCAAACTCAGGTCCACAGGAGCAGTCATGCTCCAACCCTCCACTTGGCAACCTGCTGACAGCTCCTTACCCAGGACCCGTGAAGCCTATGCCCAGTTTGAGGCTCTGCCCCTGAGCTCCTATTGGCAGAATTCCAGAGCAGCTGATTGGTCTGCTGGCCCTACTTAAGCCAGCAGCAGTAACAGGAAACTGTCCAAACAACTGGGATCCATCCCGCTCCCCCAGTTTGACTTCCTGGCATCTGACTTGTGGTTCTGATATCCATTTTGTCTTGTGCCTCTGACCCCCTGGTATCCTGATCCAGCCTGACCCGACTTGTGGTTCTGATCTAAAGTTTGTTTTCTGCTTCTGATCTACTGGTATCCTTGACTCTTGTCTCATGACTGTGGACTCCTGCTCTGACCACTAGGTCTGGCTGCCCACAACCCAGCCGTGACCACTTGTTCGGACCACAGTAACTGCAGGGCCAAGCCCGGTGCCCACGACCCAGCCGCACTGCCACAGCCACTGGAAGCATAGGACTCCCCTGAATGGGACCTCCTCTTCCAGGTGGATACTCAGGCACTGCAAGTTGCTCAGATGATCAGGGACAACCAGAAGCTGCAGGAGCAACTGAGGCAGCTCAGCACCGCCAGTGCCACCTGCCATACCCTGGCATGAATGGTTCAACGGGAACCGCAGGCAGTTCCAGGGTTTCATGAACCGATGCCGCCTTCTGTTTCTGATGTGTCCCAGAATCTATGCCTCTGACCAGGCCAAGGTGGCCCTGGTAATCAGCCTGCTGATACGAGATGTGTTAGACTGGGCCTCCCCCATGCTAGAAGATCATAGGCTGGTGCTGTCAAACTGGGTTGCCTTTCTCCAGCTAATATCAATCATCTTCAATGACCCACCCTGAGCTCAAATGGCCGAGGCCACCCTGAGGAGACTTTGGCAGGGGCGCATGGCACAGCGGCCTCCTATGTGGCACACGTCCGGATACAGAGTGCAACTAAACAGTGCAGCTGTACCAGTTCCAGTGGGGGCTTGCAGGAAGAAATCAAAGACAAACTGGCCTGGGTAGAGATGCCTGCGGGCCTAGACATCCTTGTGGACCTTGCCAACTGCATAGATGAGCAGCTGTGAGAATGAAGAAAGGAGAAAAGATGTTCCCTGCAGTTCCTCTACAGGCCTACTGGGACGTCACCTTCTGTATCGCCCACCAAAGTTGTGCAAGCCAACCTGCCTCATCAGCGCCTCACTCCTGAAGAAAAAGAACGGCGCCGTCAGTGCCACCTGTGCTTCTACTGCAGCGACCCTGGCCATGTCATCTTGACCTGCCCAGTACGAGTGCCAAGCAGCTTGGGGAAACAAGTCAGTCCAGACACAGTGAGGAGAACCGGCCTGGTCCTTGAGGGAAGAGAATTTCCCTGTACCCTAGTCTTCACTGAGACCCACCCTGAGCCCCATCCAGGGGCTTCCAATTTGCAGGTACCCCCTATCCAGCTGCGCATCCTGGGAGATCTCCAGCAGATCCCCCTCCAAGAGACCCTCATCGATTCGGGAGCAGCAGACAATTTTGTGGATCCAGCTACAGCTCAGGCCCTACAGATTCCCCTGCGACATGAGGCCACACCGGAGATGATTGGAACTGTTGATGGCTCTCCACTGTCTTTGGGTCCTGATGTGGAGGAGACTGTCCCCCTGGAGGCCGTTATTCAGGGACACAGAGATAATTAGATCTGGAATGATCCATTCTGCACATTTTACCCTGATAGTTGGCGTCTCCTGGCTAACCCTTCATGATCCCCTCATTCACTGGTGAGAACAGAAGGTCACGTTCCCATCAGAATTCTGCTGATGGTGCAGCCAGGGACCAGGAAGGGTTGCATCCAGGCCCAAGAAGGTTCAAATAGGTATAGTTGCCCACATTGAAACACCTACTGGGGGAACTGTGGAATTCTCCCGCCCCCCAGTACTGCAGCTATGCTGATGTCTTTAAAAAAAGAATGCAGAAAGCCTCCCCCCACATTGGGACTATGATTGTCCCGCAGAACTCCAGCCAGTGGTGAAAATATCGTTTGGGCGGATCTACGCAATGTCAGAGCCTGAACTGGTAGCGTTACGAGGACACCTCCAAGAGAACCTGGCCTGGGGGTTCATCTGCAGGTCAACCTCACCAGCCAGTCCTTTAATAAAAAAGGACGGCAGCCTCCGCCTCTGTGTTGATTACCGATCCCTAAATCAAATAACAGTCCAGAACCACTAAGCACTATCCCTTATCTCTGAGTTGTTGGACCATGTGGATGCTACCCACATATACACTAAACTGGATCTCCAATGAGCTTACAATCTCATCCATATCCAAGAGGGGGACTGTCTTTCAGACCTGCTATGGACAGTTTGAATATTTGGTCATGCCATTTGGATTGACTAATGCCCCAGCAACATTTCAGCACTTCGTTAATGGTGTGCAACAAGACCTCCTGGGCCAGTTTGTAGTTGTATACTCAGATGATATATTGGTCTTCTCAGATGATCTGAACCAACACACCATTCACATCTGTACAGTCCTGGAGAGAATCTGATATCACGGTCTATACGGTAAACTCGAAAAGTGCGCATTTGATCAGACCTCAACTGAGTTCCTAGGTTTCATCCCATCCCCAGCAGGAATCAAGATGGATCCACTCAAGGTCCAGGCTGTCTGCTACTTGGCAGCCCCCCCCACAACGTGTACAGCCTATAATGTTTTCTAGGCTTTGCAAACTTTTACTGGAGGTTCATCTCAAATTTTTCTAAACAAGCCAAGCCTCTCACTCCCCTGCTCTGGAAGAATGCCCAGTTTCACTGGTCGCCTAAGTGTCAGCACACATTCAAATAACTAAAGCTTGCATTCACCACTGCTCCACTATTGGCCCACCCAGACATGGCACAAGTTTTTCATTGTGGAAGCCTGTCTCTAGCACACCGATTGGGGCAGTCCTTTCCCAGAGGCACAGACCCAAACAAATATGGCATCCTATTGCCTACTACTAGACAAAGCTTACCCCATGCTGGGCAAAACTCTGGGATCTTGGACAAAGAGTTCATGGCAACTAAGGCTGCCTTTGAAGAGTGACACTACTTGGAAGGGGCCTGTTGTCTAGTCCAAGTATTTACTGATCACAATTTACTGGAGCACCTGTGCAGGGCTAATGCCCTAAACCATTAACAGCTCTGGTGGGCCCTAGTCTTCTCCTGGTTCAACTTTACCTTGATCTACCATCCAGGAAGTAGAAATGGCAAGGCTGAAGCCTTCGGTCCCAAAGGTATGGCTCTGACCCATGATGCTCCTGTCCACAGCCAGCCAATGTTCTCAGTCCCATAATGTCCTTAATGCAACCCACTGCCAGGACTTGCTGATTCTCATCCACCCTGCCTCTGTCTCTGGAATTCCACCTGATGATGTGGCCATTATTGACCAAGAACCACACAACACCCAGGAGGGGATCATGTTCATAAGGGGCTGCATCTATTTCTCCCTTCCTCTTCCCTCCCTCCAGACTGGCGAGAGTGGCAGTTCTTCAACTGTGCCCACAACTCCACCCTGCCAGAATACTTGGGGTGATATAAAACCCAACGATTAACATCCTAGTACTTCTGGTGGCCCGGTATGTGCTCCACAATAGAGACCTTTGTTGCCTCCTGCCAGGTGTTTACCTGCACCAAAGTACCACACCAGAAACCTCTGGACACCCCATTTCAGCCCTAGGAGGCAATTTCCTTGAACTTTGTGGTAGAATGACCAGAATCCAGCGGTTTCACAACCATCCTGACAGGGGTGGATCAATTTTCAAAAATGGCCCACATCATTCCCTGCACGGGTTTAGCCTCTGCAGGGGAAAATGCCCGGCTCTGGATAAACAACGTAGTCATCTTCATGGCCTCCTGGATCACATCACCTCCGACCGGGGGCCCCAGTTCACTGCCTGCTTCTGGTACAAGGCCCTACATCTATTAGGGGTCTACGTGCACCTGTCCTCTGCCTACCATCCTCAGTTGAGTGGCCAAATGGAAAGAATCAACCATATCCTAGAGCAATACCTATGATGCTACACTAATCACCACCAGAATAACTGGTTTACACTATCCCATTTTCCAAATTATCATATAATAATACAGAATATGTATGCATAGGCCAGAGCCCCTTCCTTGTCAACTATGGGTACCACCCCTGATTTCACCCACAACTATCAACATCTTGCCCCAACCTCTTGGCCTTTGACCTAGGTCAACATGTCCATTACATCCAAGAAGAGGTGAAGGGACACCTTGAGAAGGCAAAGGAGGACTACAAAAAGTATGTAGATAAGCATAGGCAACAAGGACCCACCTACTCTGTAGGACAAAAGGTATGGCTTTCTACAGAATTAACAGACCCTCTCGGAAGCTATACCACCAGTTCCTTGGCCTGTACCAGATTCAACAACAAATCAACCCATCACCGTTGAGTTCCAGCTCCCTAAGTCCCTTAAAGACCACCCTATATTCCATGTCTCACCTCTAAAACCCTACACTGAGAACTCATTTCCCCAACAGACCCCAATCACTACCTCTACCAGTGCAAGTACACGGTCAGGAGGAATACGTTGTCTATGAAGTCCTTAATTTCAAGGTCAAGTGGAGTAAGTTATGGTACCTGATTGACTGGGAAGGTTGCGGGCCCAGAGATATGCACTTGGAAGCCAGCTGAGAATGTTAATGCTCCTGGCCTGGTTTGAGCCTTCCATAGGAGTCACCCGGAGAAACCTGAACCCATGTTGCCTAGAGAGCGCCCCTAGGGGTGGGGGAGATGTCATGACCCACAGGCCTCAAATCCAGTTCTGTTGGAGCAGCCATACTCCAATCCGTCACTTGGCAGCCTGCTGACAGCCCCTTACCCAGGACCGACAAAGCCCAGCCCCAGTGTGAGGCTCCACTCCTGAGGTCCTATTGGCACAGTCCCAGAACAGCGGATTGGCCCGCTGTCCCTACTTAACCCAGCAGCAGGAACAGGAAGCTATCTGACCAACTGGGATCCACCCTGCTGTGAACTGTGTGCCTTGTGCTCCTGCTCCTCTTTCCCTGGCTTGGCTTCCTGATATCCCAACCTGGCTTGACTCCTGGCATCTGACTTGTGGTTCTGCTCTCCATTTTCTCTCCTGCCTCTGACCCCCTGGTATCCCGACCCAGCTGACTCTTGACTCCAGTCTCGTGACTGTGGACTCCGGGTCTGACCACTAGTTCTGACTCCTCACGACCCGGATGTGACAACAAGCCACAATCTTCTGCTGTTAGTTACCTGGGCCGTGATCCAGGAGGGCACTTTGGGTGAAATCCTGTCTCCATTGATGTCAGTGGCAAACTCCCATTGATTTCCATGGAGCCTGTAGGTCACCCAGTGTTTACACACACACACGTGCACATGCCTGTGGGCTGCTCTAAATTCTGCGGGCTCAGGGCCCACTGTGCTGTTAGGATCACTGGTGTGCAGCGTTATCCAGCCCTGCCCCCAGAATACCCCTCCTGCTCCTAGAGCAGACCCAGGAGGACTGGCATAGAGCCATGCTGCAGGAATCCCATTGTCTTCACTGGGGTCAGGTTTTCACCTGTTATTTTAACCATGGACTTCAGTGGGCACTGGATGAAGTCCCCGGTGCAGATTGGAAGCTTCCAGGATCCTAACTCTTAGAAAAGACGATGCAGTGTGAATCTGACCCATGCCCTTCCTGGCTTGTGGAACAGAGCCATGAACAACTGTTGCCACTCCTGAAATAGCTGACACCTCATTCAGAGCAGGAATTTATCCTTCCTCCTCCAAACACAAGAGTCCGCCCAGCACTAAAGAATCCCAACTTGGATATTTTAATCCTAGCCAGCTACCGCCCAGGATCAAACTTGGTGGGCAGAGGAAATTATTTTGGGGCGTTTTCAGCCATGATGCTGTCTGCTTTGATTTGAAGGTTCACACTCACAATTGGTTGATCAGTCCGTAGTCTAGGCATACTCTTGGATTCCTCGCTGACGCTGAGCTCTGACACTACAATGGCTGTGAGTAACCCTTCCTACCATCTCCGGTTGGCTTGGAGACTCCATCCCATCCCGGTGGATGAAGACCTGGCCTCCCTTATTCATGCCTTCATCACCTCTTGGCTAGACTACAGCAGTTTGCTGTACCTGGGCATGAAACCTTCAGCTCTTAGGAAACTCCAGTTAGTACAAAACACTGCAGCGCATCTTCTCAGCAACACAGGCTGCCGTGAGCCCATCAGACCTGTTCTCTGCTCTCTATGCTAGACTCCTGCAGAATTTCAAATCCAGTTCATGGTTTCAGTCCTTATCTTTAAAGCGCTTCATGGCCTGGGCCCAGGTTACCTAAAAGACTGTTTAAAGCTCTGGGATGAAGAGCAGAATTGCCAACCATGGTCTTATGGCCCAATGGTGCTCTCAGCAATCAAAGTCAAGGCTCATCTGTGCAGGAGACAGAACTTTCTCTGGGGCAGGTCCGAGCCTGTGGAATGAACTCCCATGGGAACTAAAGACCATCACAAGCCTCCCCACTTTCTGCTCCAAGTGCAAGGTGCATTTCTTGATCTTGCCCTCTCTAATATAAACACAGAGCAACAGGTATGTTTAACGAACAAAAACCCACCCTACCGAAACAAGATGCTCCACTCCACATGCTTCTCCCTCTGGGGAGAGGGTAAGAGAGCAAACCCATGACATGAGTAGTCATGATACAGATCAGCTGTCCCTTCCCAGAAGCCAGTTGGGATTTTCCCTGGTGCCTCTGTCTTCCGTTGCTCTCTCTCTGTTGTGGTTTTTGCTTCTTTAACAAAGCTGCATGTTTTGTTTTTTTTTAAATCATGTTGAACAAAGCAATCCCCCCTGGCTTTCATTCATTTCTCTAGAAGCAGCATTTCCTGCCCTGTGAAGCTGACCACGATTGAAGAAGTGGACGATTATTTAAGTGGAGAAGTTTATGCCGACTCGTCATCATACCACAGCACATCAGTTCTGGGAATATTTCACCCTAGCATGAAAGAAGGTAAACATGGCACTTTGTGAGAGAGAATACAAGGTTAGCAAGATTAGGAGCTCCTATCTGGTACCTAAAGATGAGGATTTCTGCCATTTGAGAGGAACTCATTGGTTCCTTGTTTGCTAAATGATGTAACTGGACATATGTGTTCACATTGATTATTTGCAGTACGGTAGTGTCTAAATGAGAGCACAGACCCACTGTACTATTGCCCGTACAACTAGTGGGAGACAGTCCCTGCCCTGGAAAGCTTACAGTCTAAATAGACAAGATGCATAAAGGGTGAGAGAACAAACAGAGGTGAAAGTGACTCATCCAAGAAGCTGAGAACAGACTCCAGATATCCTGAGTCCTAGTTTAGTGCTTTGTCTACTGGACCAGTCTAGCTCTCTGTTGGTGTGCTCCTTCAGTTGATCTCCAGTCCCAACAAAGGCTGTTCCAGAGAACGAAGCCCTACACCCCAGTTCTGCAAGCAGGTACATGTCGGATGACTCTTGTGCCCTGGCATTGACTTCAGTGGCTCTCCACACTGGGACACAGATCCATTCACATGGCTCCCCTCTGCAGGATCGGGGCCCTCCCTTTAGAAGTTTTCTAGTGATCTTTTTCCTGTAGGTTCTGGAGTGAACCTGTTAATGATGGTCTGTTGCTTGTACGCCAAAGGAAGCGATTTCCACACGCAGGCAATAACTCATTTCCTCTCTCAGAGCAAAGATATTGAACTAAATTACGGCCCTCCAGAGAGAGAGAGCATGGCTGCGGAGGTGGAAGATGTGCATGCAGTGGACCGCATGTATTCCTCATGTAGCAGAGCTCTGCGAGACAGGATATCCAGCCAGAAAGGAGTAGCCAAGGTAGCACCGCAGTGGGGGTATTGTAGGTAAAATGGAGATGGCACTTTCCTTATCAGCCCTGTGTCCCACAGCTCTTAATATCCCCAAGACATGCACCTTCTGGGATTGAATATTCTCCTGTTTAATGGTTTTTTCCAGCCTGCTTCAGAATAAAGGCTGTATGTGCTGAATAGGGTTAAACCACGCTTGTTTCTTGGGGATTGGCTTGATTGAAAGTCATTCACTATAATACCCCCCTGTATTCCAGCCCATGCCTCCTCTCCTAGCTTGGCTACCCTTAGGGCTTCTTCTGTGGGGCCTTTGTCTTGGTACCTGGCACACTCTTTCAGGCTTTCACACTCTCTTTAGCACTGTGTAGGCTAGTGGCTAGAGCACGGGCCTGGGACTCCAAAAATCTGGGTTCAATTCCTAGCTTAGCCACTGGCCTACTGGGTGAGCATGGGCAAGTCACTTCCCTTCTTTGTATCTACATTTCCCCATCTATCTAATGATGCAGTCCTCCTTTGTGAAGTGCTTTTAGTTCTACTGATGAGAAGCACGATGTAAGAGCTAGGTGTTTTATTATCATTACCTGGAGGACCTCTCTTTGTATGCAGGGTGGCATTACATGGGATTGGAAGGGATGTCCTGGCTCATTGGGTCCAGGCTCCAGCTGTCGCAGGCAGCCCCAGCAAATAATCTCATTAATAAACGTATCAAGTTCCTCCTTGAAACCTGTTAGATGGTTTGTTTGCCCACCAGATAATCTCTTGGTGGGTCTGAGTTACCCGAGGATGAGAGAGATGTTTGCACTGTTAACACAGTGTTGTTTGGATTCTTGTTGTTATTTGCATGTGGGTAACTCAAGATCAGTCTTAGGGGTTTGTGGTTTTTTTAACTCTGCCCTTTGTCAGTCCACTGTTCTGAGAGGAGAATGCATGATTTCCTTGTGAACTCAAGTACCGGTGGTTTAAAAATAACAGAGTGCTCAGTTACTATGGCCACAAGTAACCACCTAGATTATTTTCCTTCCCTTCCAAATGTCATACTGAGCTATGATACACCAACTCGGTACGCGAGACAAGGAAGATGGGTTTGATTGGGTGATAAGTAAGAAGGAGCCTTGGAGATCAAACCACAACTGTAGATTGTGCGTGTCAAGTTTTGGTGTGAACTCTGCATCATGCTCAGCTTTACAAACAACCACCCTCCTTATCTTTCCAAGCCCTGCAACAAGTGGTAAACCATTAATGCTCATGGCAGAACAATCTCTCATTATGTGGCTGCAGCTGGGTACGTGCCTTGTGGAATGAATAAGTTATGAGAGATGCAGTAACCTGCAGCTGTAGGGCTAGCAGAAAGAAGTGAGCATACAAGTGCACATCAGGCCCATCTTCCTGTCCTACCACCGGCTCCCGGTCAGCTTTTGGTGCCAGTTTAAAGCCTTGTCCTAATCTTCAGCTCAATTAATGGGTAAAGCCCCAGCTAGATTGAAGAGTTTCTCTGGGACAATGCAGATCACAAATATAATGACAATGTGCGTGAGAGCCAAGGACAAAGCATTCTCCGTTGAGGGGATCTAGCTATGGAACAAATTTCCAGGGAAAATCAAGGTCCGGCCAATCCAAAGACTGATGATCTCAAGGAAACGCTACACACCCTTCCTCTCCAAAAAGGCCTTCCAACTGTGAGAATGCCATTCCCCGCTTCTGCCAAGCAAATCTCAACCAACCCACAGTCCGCCCAACTCCTGGAACAAATGAAACCAAAAGTACGTTAATAAATTTTTAAAAAATCAAAACCAAAACCTACCCCAAGCAGAGCTTCTACCCCATGAAGGGAGACATGCCAGTGGCTCTGTGAAATCCACAGGGACTTCACTGTTGCTATTAACTTTACATGGAAGGTGTCCAGACACTGTACTTGTGGACAGTGATATTAAACCTTAAGCTAAATAGATAGGACAACTGAAAATTCCTGGTGGTCATCTTACTTTACAAGCTAAGCAGGCTTGGAAGTGGGTAGTGCTTGGACCCACTGAAAATCTTCGGTGAGGTGTTGGTGGTTACTCTTAATAATTGTATATGCTGAGGGCTCAGGGTCAAGAGGAGGGGTAGTGAATCCGATGGCTATGACTGCACACGCAAATGAGTGGGATCCACTGGCTAGTTAGGCATCTTACAAGCCATTGGCACCCCAGTCACCCCATTTGTGTGTGCAGGCGGTGGGTGCACAATTGCACATGCATTCTTTAGCATGGACCTCCAGCATCTGCCTTTAAACATGTGATCCTCTCTCCCGGCCGATGGGAAATAATACTCTGCGCTGACGTTTCCGCAGGTTGAGTTCTGCTTCCGTTTTCTCACTTGGTTCCCATGAACCCCATCCTACCCCTTCCCCTCCTCCATAACCTGATCTCTGCAGAGGGGCTTCCAGGAAGTCTGAAGAAAGGATGGGTCTGCTGGCACAAGTGGTACCCTCCTCCCACACCTTCCCAAGCCCCACGGCAGGATCCATTGGGTTTCCATCCTCTCCGTCTGCTGATGGAGAGGAGGCCATCTGGTCCATGATGTTTCTAAATGGAACCAGCCCTGACTTTAATGTGAGAGACTAAAATGACTATATATCAACCCGGAGAGGGGAAATGGGCAGGCATAGTTCCCCTCAAAAACAGCTCAAGAAATAGCCGGGCTCGCCATGCCCCAGTCAAAGCCAAGTTGAACATCACATCCTGTCAGTTACCTTCACCCAGCTTGGAAACCTGCGAGCCTCTGCCCGTGGTTGGAAAGCAGAAAGAGAGAAGCTTTGCGGCTGGGAAGGGATTCTGGGAGGCAGATTGGTTACATCTTGCTCCATAGCACTGGTTTCTGTACTGCACCTCCAGCTGGCTTCAGTTACGCACCCGCTCAAGCCACGCTCTGACAGAAGGGGGTGAAAATGTGTCGAGGGCACAACGTGAGTGTAACAGAATTAAAGACATAGGGCTGATCGGCAATAGTTAAGGCACAGTAGGGTAAATAATAATGGTATTTAGCACCGCTATGAAGCCTGATCCAAAGCCCACTAAAGTTAAAGGAAAGGCACCTATTGACTCCCAGGGGTTCTGGATCAATTTCATCAGTAGAAACTAAAGCATTTTTTATAATGGCGGTGGGCGCTGCCATCTCCATGTTAGAAACGGAGCACAAGGCCCAGCTTTCCAAAAGCTGCTTCTAGCTTTGAGGGCATCGGGGCGGGGCCCACAAATCGAGGCCTTCAAAATGAATGGCTGCCTGCAAAAAATGTGGGATGGGCCCGACATTGCGGAGCAAGTCAGAAACAGAGCAGGGGACAGATCCCAGGTCTCCTGACTTGGGGGAAAGCTCGTTTCTTTGCTTACCAGAAGGAGGACGTTTTTCTCATGACACTTTTACTCCAGAAAAGCTTGGCTTTTCCAGGACCTGAAGTTAGACTAACAGGATGTCCAGCTATAAACAAAAGAACAATCAATGCACTTTCAATGAAATTGTATTATTAGATTACCATTCAAGCGACCAAATAAGTGTTTTCCTAAGGGCTTGTCTACAGGGGGAAATGTACCAAAATAGTTATAGTTATTTTGCTCTAAATTTCTGTGTGAATGGTCTTATTCCAGAATAATTATTCCAGTGTAACTATTTTGGCAAATTTCCCCATGCAGACAAGCCCATCAGGACATCTCTAAAGAACAGGGACAGAGAAGTTTCCTGGAAAAATTGGGGGCAATCACATAGAAGATTAACTTGGTTTGATACCAAAAGTTGGTTGATTCTTTAAAGATACTGGAAATAAAATGCTCTCTTAAATACTGGCTTCATTGTGTAATTAGGAAGCACCTGTAAGACTCCTAGCAGTGTTTGACAAAGTTCCTGGCTCACTGACGGCTAGTTAAAACACTGCCTGACTGCAGGGTTTTCAGTGGGCCTATGGGAAGGGGATGAAGGGCTTATCGGCCTGCATGCAGCATTGAATCTGAGGCCAGTTAATGGCAGTCTTTCCATTGACTTCATTGGGCTTAAGATCAGGCTACTTGTGAGGACTGAAGTCTGAAGGGAGCTAGAATAGAGGCTGAGAATGCACCTCAACATGTGTGCTTACGGGGTGTGTCTACACTGCAATAAAACACTGTGGCTGGCTCGTGTCAGCTGACTGAGG